ATCTCCTCTAAGCTCAGAGTAGCAAGCAAATTACAAACACAGCACTAATAAACTTTTATCTCTGGGCAATGCTTCCCCCCAGCCCTTTACCCTCCAAAAATATCAATATTAGAGTATTGTGGTTAGTTTTGGTCCCTGCTCTACAAAAAGGATGCATAGGCTGGAGGGGGTCCAGAGAAGGGCCACAAGGATGATCAAGGGACTGAAGGACCTGCCATCTGAGGACAGGCTGAGAGAAGTGGGTTTGTTCAGAAAAGAAGACTCAGGGGAGACTTCATTACCATGTTCCAGTACTTAAAGGGTAGCTACAAAGAAGTTGGAGATTCCCTGTTTACAAGGAGTCATTTGGAAAAGACATGGGGTCATGGGTACAAGTTGTTCTGGGGAGATTCTGGTTGGACAGAAGAGGTAAATTTTTCACCATGAGGACAGTCAACCATTGGAATAGTCTCCCAAGGGAAGTGGTAGATTTCCCCCACGTTGGATGGTTTTAAGTCTCAGCTTGACAGGGTGCTGAACCACCTCATGAAAACTATAGTATTATCTAGAAAGGTTGGACCAGATGATCCTTGAGGTCCCTTCCAGCCTGGCATTCCATGATTCCATAAGTTTCCACTGCTCCCTCCTACCTTTTCAGCCCTTAATCCCCCCTCTCTGTGAGCGATTTCTGATATTTAATTATTAAGCTTTCCAGGCTTTTGGGGGTGGTGTATTAAATTTTTCGCTTGTTTTCCTTGTATTTTTTTTCGTTCTTGGAAAACTTTTGGATTTCTTGAGTAAACTTTTTGGCTGTTTCCTCCTCGCTGCATTACGATGCGGAGTGTCCCGGCAATGCTTGGCAGGAGGCTGAGCCCTCCCTCCCTGCCTTTGCAGAACTTTTTGAGCTGAGTTTGGAAACCATCACTCACACTGGCATGTATTTATTTCCAAGGAGATCTGCAGGCAGCCAGATAAGTCAGGCCTGAGATGCTTTTGAGCCTGGCATCCGGAAACAGTGAGGACTTCCAGTCGCTGTTACATTGGTGGTGATTTTTCTCCAAATACTCAGCAAGATTTGGGTTGTCCTTCCAGACAGGTTGTTGTTTTTTTTTAGGAGATGCTGCTCCAGGGCTTTCTTGGCAGCCAAACCCAGTGCTTTGCCTTTTGCACAGGGTCATGGCCTGCAGTATCCTTCAGGGTCCTCATCCTTCCCATCTTCTCACCTCAGCAGTGGCTGCCCAAAGTCACCAGGGCTTGACCCTGTTTCCGCAGGGCACTGTGCAGACCGTGTTGCTTGGCTGGGTTTTTTCCATGTTTTTCTGAAAAGCCAGCAGTTATGGAGCAAGCAAGAAATGAAGTGGCCTGTGACAGTGCAGCTGGAATGCTGGTGTCCAGAGGGGGAGTGACAGGAGGTGCAGTGGAAGCCCCAAAACTGCTGTGCACCAGTGCCTGCTTTATGATTTTCTTTCTAACTTTGCAGCAGGCTTCAGAAGGGATGTCCAGCTCCTGCAGAATTCTTTGGAGCAGAAAGCAGCTTCTGATCTTTCTTTGCTGCCCTTCCCTGTCCCCACAGTGGAGCACTTGGGCTATCAGCAGCCTCTGCTCTTCTCCCTGCCTGATAGAGGATAAGAGGCTTCTCCACTTACTCCTCTTCATGGAGCATTTTTTACCCCCCCAGTCCCTTAAGAATGATTTTGTTTGTTTGTTTTTCCTTGTCCTGAAACTGGCATAAGGTTGGTAACAGGCTCCATCTGACCAGCTGCTCAATTGCCATGTGCCTTAAAAATTCAGGAGAAAAATTGCACCAAGTGTTCAGTCATAAATTGAAAGAAGAAAAATGCCTCTTGAGACAAGTTGGATCATAGAGGTCTTTTCCAGCCATGACAATTCTGTGATTCTGTGGTATCAGAGGTGTGGAAATCACAATCTTAGGGGTCTTTTCCAACCTAAATTATTCTAACTTGTTTCACAGCCCTCTCCTCTGGCTCCCTGGCCACTGCCTGAACATGGTATCTCCTAGAAAAAAGGGAGGCAGAAAATCTGTCATGTTGGAGAGGATGGTAAAACCCCAGAATAATTGCAACAAACATTTTTGAAATTGAGGTTGTAATAACCCAGAGGGATTTTATTCAATGCAGAATAAACCCCACTCTCTTGCCCAGCTCAGTTACTGAGAGGGTTTTTGGAAGCCTGGTTTAGAAACGTGGCATCCATGCCAGCACCTGCAGGGGGTGGGTTTGTTGGATTTAATCAGGGAATCATCTCAATGGTTGTTCTCTGGCTCCTGGGAAGTGAGGGCTGTGCTGCAGCAGGTTGCTGCTGGTGCTTTGGTTACCAGGAATTTGCCAGGAGCATTCTCAGAGTGGGGGTATGTGTAGGGCTGAGCGTGTGCTGCAGAGACTTGGCCGATTCGCCACATCCTGAGAGCGTTCCCTGTTAACAATACTTCATGTTTCAAGGATAAGTCACTTCCCGTCTTTCTTGGCATTCCCTGGCTTCACTCTTGGAGCCCTTTCTAAATGATAATCATAGAACTGTTCAGGTTGGAAAGGACCTTTGGGAACACTGAGTGCAACCATCATCCCTACTCTACAAAGTTCTCCCCTAAACCATCTCCACAACCACCACATCCAAACAACCCTTGAACACATCCAGGGATGGTGACTCCACCACCTCCCTGGGCAGCCTATTCCAGTGTCTAACCACTCTTTCTGTGAAAAAATATTTCCTAATGTCCAGTCTGAACCTCCCCTGTTGCAGCTTGAACCCATTCTCTCTTGTTCTGTCAGTTTTCAAGCTTGCCTCACCTGATGGAGACGGGTGCCAGAAAGCTTTAGGTGGCCTATTCAAAGATACCCAGATTTCCAGACATCCCAACAGGGCTTCTCCTGCACCATGGGAATGGATTTGCCCAGGTGTTTGGTGGCCACTGGATCTGTGACCACAGCTTCCACACTGCCCAACACAGCAGCAGTGCCCTGTGGTATCCATCCAGGAAAAGCAGCTTGGCCACAGGTTCCTGGTAGGAAAAATGCAGATAGATGCCAAGACTCACAGGGCTTTAGGGGAAAAGTCTCAGGGAAAGGCACTTGGAACACAGGAAAATCTCCTGGGATTTAGTTCTGGGACTTCAAGGCTGAATTTCTCCCAGCCTCCTTGTCACCAAGAACACCCAATTAACATCAGGCCTTTGTATTAAAAAATGAAGAGGGGAAATTACACTTGGGTAATCCTCTTTGTCTAAATTTTCCTTGCTTTGTTACTCCTTGGCTGAGGGAGCCTGTAATACATATTTATAGCAGACTGAGGAAGGAGGAGGTAACAGCCCTCTGGACCTGACCCCACACCTCCAGATTTAGTTTTGTTGGACATTAGGAGTCTATCTCTCAGCAATGTTGGCTGATGCTGGATAAAATGGGGGTAAAACAGGGCAGGTTGCATATTTAATGTGTGGTGGTGGGATGAAGACTTCAGGTTGGATTTGGTGTGTTCTGCTGAGTTGTGTTAAAAAATGAGAGATGTTGCTGGTTTTGTGGATCTTGTGAGCGTGGAGGTTTGCACTGGGGCTTCCTGCTGAAGGGTGGAGGAGGTCCCAGAGCCCCCATGCTGCTGAGCAATGATGTGTGAAGGAAACTGTGGTGGTTGTGGACTTGGAGTCAAGCTTAGCAGTGATCTTAGTAAGCGAATAAACTGGAATGATGTCAGAGGCCAGTGCTGAGGTGTGGATTATGTTGCTGACCCAACGGGGATATTCCCAATGGAGAGGGAGGATGCTGTACGCCCAGCAAAGGCAGGGGAGAGGCAAACAACACATCTCTTTGGTGCTGGGAAGTCTTTCTCCTGTCTGTGTGTCCTGGCCATCTTGGTGCTAAAAGCCAAATTTGCCCTTTTCCCTTCCTGCAGCTGGCTTGTTATACTGGAGTGAGTTTGGGTTTGAGGGGTTTTGGGTCCAAACTGCTTTGGATACCACTCTCTTTGCAGATGGGGTTGGAGATGGAGGTAACTTTAGGTCACACAGTCAGAAACAAGCCCAGCCATTTCCCAGAAGGAAACCTTAGCTGTGACCAAGTGATGTGGTTGATGGAGTTCAGCCCTGTGTGAACAGGATGGAATTTCTGGGTGGCAAAAAGCCCTGGAAGGCTGGAGGTGATGCTTTTAGCCCCTGTCCCTTGCCAGCTCTTCCTCAATAGGTTTGCTCAGGGTTATGTGTGGTTGCAGACTGTCCCCACCAACACTGTGGAAGTCCCCTGGCAGAAGAAGAGTGGTGTGACGTCCTTCAAGCCATCTGCTTTGTGGTAACTCAGCCTCTGCCAGGAGACAGTGGATGGGAGCTCCAAATAACTCCAGTTCTGTGATTGCACTTGGTTCCACCCATCCTTGCTCCTGCTGATACTCCTCCTGACTTTTGCTGCCCTGTGATGGCCTGTGGTGGAAATAACCCTGGTTGTGGTCTTGCTTCTCTGTCCCCTCCCAGGAAGGAGTCCATCCAGCTACATGTTCCCATCCAGATCTGGCAGTCCTTAGCAGGCACCACTTCAGATTTCCTAAAAGGTTTCCTAAAAGACTCTTCAGAAGGTTTTCAAAGAAATTGCCAGGAGCTTCCCATTTCTTAGTAATAGCACTAATGCCTGTTTTAGGGAAATTCTGATCCTTTCAGCCTCTGAGCCTCTCTTTCACTTCTTGTAAGGGAAAGAACCTCAGCACCCTGGTGTTTGAGCACAGTTTTTTATGCACTGCATGTTCATAATATGCCTGTAGAATGTGAAAAGTGCTGTTACCCTCTTTTTTTTTTCTTTATGAATGGGGAACTAAAGAGCAATTTTTCCAAGACTTTTATTGCTGCAGTTAAAAGGAGCTCATCTGAGATCTTCACACTGGTACTGTGGTGTCTTTGATGCATCTATTTGGGGGGCGTTTTAATCCTCCAAGATATGCAGGTGTGGGGGTGAGCTGGGTGCTGGGGACCTGAGTGGCACCCAGTGCACTCTGTATGGTGCCACACTGCCCTTCCATACCTTTTCTAGGTGTGTGCACAGAAACATGTTTATTTTCTAAATACTTCAGCCCCAAAAGTGTCTGCATTATTATTGTGTGTTCAAACTCAGGGTTTGCTTTTCATTCCTAACTTTTAATAGACACTTTGCTTCCTCACCTATGGGTGAGCTATTGAGTCCAGCAGCAAATTGCTTTTTTTAAGGTATTTGACAGAGCCTCACAACTAAAGTTCATTTTCAAGCCTTCCTGGTGGAACTAAGAGTAATAATTTATAATATACAATACTTGGTACTAATTTTGCTCTGCCACAACATACTGGAACATGAGTTTTGCTCTTGTCACCTGGGCTGGGCTGAGACTCTTGAATATGAAAATAGTCCTGAGCTTAAACCATGGCAATAGAAGCATGTTTTTGTATCTTTTGGGCACTTTAAAAATGTGACTTCTAAAAATGCTGTCTTCTACACTGAGAAGTTGTGTTTAAAGATGTCAGGGCCCACAGCTCTCTTATTACCACCTTCCCTGAATGCATCCTAGGAGGATCATGCCTACACAGTTTATTCTCAGTGGTAGATCACTGGCTGTACAAGTATCATGCCAATGGCAATTCAGCCAGCCTGAGCACTGCTAGCTGAAAATGCAGTTCCCTGCTAATGGACCACAGAGATCTTTGCTTGCAGGAAGAAGTGCCTGCTGTGAAATCACTGCAAGTAACTGTGCAGGATGGAGTTGTGCTATTTTACAGCTCCAGCTTTCCAGCTCAGTGGTGGCTGCATCTTACCTGGAGGGAAAGCACCTCCTCATTACTTGTGGGTTTTTCATTATTTTTGTAGGTCTTTCTGGACAGAACCTGCCTCCTAATTTTGATATGTTGATTGTTGACTCATCTTTCTCCTGAGCATAGAAACTATCACCACAAAGAACCAGCCTCCTGGTGCATTTGCTGGGCTGCATGGTGTGGGTTGGCAGCAGGGACCTGGAGGGCTGTAACTTGTGGGGTGTGCAGGGTGTGGGGTGTGCATGGTGGTGAGGTGGCTTCATTCCCAGGCTTGGGCTGGTTTGCAGAGATATTCCCTGGAATCGTAACGTGTGATACCCAGCACTGAGCTGGTTTGGTACTGCTCTCTTCTATGTTAATTGGCTAGCAATTTGAATAATTTGGAGCATCTGCTCCATTCAAATGGCATGATGTTTCATTTCCTGTAAAGAGCCCAGTGTGTGTTCTTGCTAAAAAGGGGTAAATAGTATGTTTATGCAACAGCCAAATATACTAAATTGGCCAAAACGACACTTCCTCCATATCAGCTTTTCAATTAATTCTGCTTTTATAGGTAAATGGTGTCATTAAGTTATTTGTGGTTTCAGGAACCCAGAGAGAGCTTCATTCTCTTTCATATCAAGGCAGTGTAAACTGCTCTGGGTGTGTAAAAGGGATCGTAAAAGGGTATTAAACCTCTTTCCAGCCCTCTGATGTTGCAGAGTCCCATGCAGCCTGCTGGCTCTGCCTCCCAGCGCTTCATTTGGGAACAAGCAGGAAACACCCGCTGAGCCCACGGGCAGCAGGTCCCAGCGGCAGGAGCCCAACAGTGTTTTCCGGGTGCTTTTCACACCCTTTGAACCATTCAGTGCCTCTCTCCTCCCCAGGCCCAAATGCTGTGGTGTCACAGCCTTCCCCCCTGCCCAGCCCCACACATCTGTGGGCAGCGAGTTGCTGTTTTCCTGTCTTCTCTTCCCGCTTGGCTTCCTGGTTCCCACAGGAACTGGCCGTGCCCACTGGCCGAAACGGAAACAGGCCTGAGATAGTCATGGGGTGGGGGGGGAAATGTCCGTTTGACATCACGTCAGCTTCATCTTTCTGGGTCGAGCCAGGACCTTGCTTTTCCCCCGCTGGGTCACAGTGCCTTCCCAGGCCACGGAAAAATTATGGCGATCTGAGAGAATTGGGTTTTGCATCCACATCATGAGGAGGATGTGTCTGGAAATCCTCGGGGCTGGCTCCAGAGGTGGGGCATGATGTGTTGATTCCTGGTTTTCCTTTGAGAGATGCCATGGGTGCCCTAAATCTGGAACCTTGCTTCTCTTACACACTAAATAGTGGTGGGGCGGGATTTCCTTACTGGGCCTGATGGGATGTTGTGTGTGACCCTGAGGGACTTGGAGGCTGAAGTGGGGCCAGGGGGTGAGCTGGGATGTGGTGGGTCCCAAGCTGCTGGCTCTGCCTCACCAAGGGAGGGCTGTGTCCACCTGCCTCTGCTCACATCCCCTCCACGGGACAAATCCCACCAGCTCTGCTCCCTTCTGCCTGTTGGGAGTCCACACATTTCCAGGAAGCATCCTTCTCCTTTGACAAGCCCCACAGAGCAGTTGCCACCCTGCAAGTGTGTTTTGGGCGCACCTTTGCTGCCCTGCAATTAATGCAACCTTTTTTGTTTTTCCTCTCTTCTCCACAGTTTTATCTGCAGGCCAGATTCACGTGGAAGGGCGCCCGCCTGCTCCGGCCCCTCCTCCAGTTCACCCTCATCATGATGGCGTTTTACACCGGCCTGTCGCGTGTGTCGGACCACAAGCATCACCCCACCGACGTGCTGGCAGGCTTTGCACAGGGAGCCCTGGTGGCTTACTGCGTGGTGAGTGCTTCCTAAACCTCCCCTGGCACAACTTGGAAGCCATTTCTTTGTGTTCTGTTACTTGTTACCTGGGGGAAGAGGTTATTCCACACTTTGGTCCAACCTTCTGTCAGGTGGTTGGAGAGAGCGAGAAGGTCTCTCCTCAGCCTCCTTTTCTCCAGACTAAACAACCCCAGTTCTCTCAGATGCTCCTCATAAGTCTTGTTCTCCAGACCCTTCATCAGCTTTGTTGCCCTTCTCTGGACATGCTCCAGCTCCTCCATGTCCTTTTTGTGCTGAAGGGCCCACACCTGTGGTGTGACCTCACAAGTGCAGAGTGCAGGGGGACCTAGTCCTGCTGGTCACACTATTGCTGATACAAGCAAGGGTGCCAAACAGCATATTCAGGGAAAAATAAACCATTTAGGGGTTTTCCTCCATCAGCTTGACCTCCAGGAGGCTCAGGGTGAAGAGCCTCTTCACCCAGACAGTTTAGACAGGACGAGCGTTTCCCTCTTGACCAACATTATGTGCTTCTCCAGCCACACTGGGTAACAGGCATCGACTTATTTGCAAGTCTTTCCCCCAGGACCCAAACAGGGAGCTTGGGATTGTTGGGATTATGGCTCTTCCCTGCACAGTGTAGCCAAGAGCCATCTCCTGGTGCCTGCCCGGCGAGGGGAAGCCGAGTGCCCCATTTGGTGGTGGGTTTTTAATGTAGTGGAAGGGCTGGTGAGAACACGGCCAACAAAAGCCCTGCCCGCTGCTCTGCAGCTGCCAGGCTCCTTCCCATGCCATTTAATTTCCAAAGAGTGACCTGATTGTGCAGCCCTATAACTCCAAGTGGCACATGGAGGTGCTGAAGCAGGCAGGATGGGGGGCACTGGGCTTTGCCTGAAAACAAAGAGGCTGGGGGTTACGGTCAGTCCTGTGTGTGTGCAGCTTCCTGAGAGCAGGGTTTTAACAGCTTGCCACTTTCTTGGGGTTTGGGTGTTTTGGTTGGGTTTGGTTGAGTTTTCCTGACTGATCTAAAAGTAAAGCAACCCTGGAGGTATCGAGTTCTCTAATACTATATTTTGCAAGGAGAGAAAATAGGATTTTTTAATGTATTTTCCACTTATTGATAGTATTCCAAAGCCAAGACAAAAATGTCATTGTTGGGAAGTTTTTATGAAGTATTATGAGCTGTAGCTGTTTGCCATTGCCTCGTGCCAATGTCCCATGTGGGGCCAGCAAACTCAGAGAGGGAAAATTAGAGAGATTTGCTGTTGCTGTAAGGCTTGCTCCCAGCAACAGTGTTACAGGTCCCATGTCCTTCATTCCAACATTGGCAGCGTGTTTCTCCAAATCCTGGAAATCGTTTCGTACCCCAGCAGTCAGCTGGAGCACCGTGATGGCAACCCTGAGGAGAAAAGGCCCTGGGGCAGTGAAGGGAGTAACAGAACAGCTTGTCTCGGTCCTGCTGCCTCAGTTTGTATCTTTTGGGTTTGTTGATACATCAACTACACATCACCAGGCAGTTTTGCAAGGGAATATTTACCTCTCTGTGCACCTTTCTGCTTGGGAAGTGGGGTGACAGCAGTTGATAGGCGGAGCAGGTACCAGTGGATCTATCCATGGAGTTTCAGAAAGACAATAGCTCTCGGGATGGGTGTCTGGGTGCTTCCTGGCCAGGACAAGTGGCAGGGCTGGCTGTCCCCTCTGGCAGCTGGAAGCTGTGCTGGGAATGGGAGGCTGTGGTGGTGCTGGGCTGGTTTTCCTGTGTCAAGGTAAACCCACATAGGAAGCAGCTGCTTGGAGTTTCACAGGCAGACTCGGGTTTCCCTGCGAGCCTGGGGCAACCCGCACTGCTCTTCCCAGCCAGCTTCTGGAAGGGCAGTTGTCTCCACACCCTTGGCAGGCATGGCTGGGAACATCTGAGGCAGCAGTTGAGGACTAGGACAGGGTTTAAAGCCACCCCTTGTCCCATTCTAGCTGCCTGTGAAGAACTAGCAATGTGTTCTTGTTCTCCCAAACCTGGCTTTGCTGGTGTGAACCGTGGCCCAGGTGGGGCTGGCTGACTTTGGGAGGTGGCAGCAATGGACAAAGAGAAAGGCCCCCCTGAGACTCCAAGAAGTTTGCATTAAATGTAGAGTTTAGCAGCTTCTTGCTAAAAGCTCTGGGATCCAGCTCTTGTGCCTGGGATGCTCTGAAGCAGAGGGAGGGGCCTACAGACTCATCAGCTCCAACCCACCCTGGGTGCTCCCAGACACACCTTCCCCCAACAAAGCCTTCAAGAGTCCTCTGATGATAGTCAAGGGCTGTTAAAATACCATAGTTATCAGGCTGTAATTTTCAGTAGAAACCAATTGTGGGTTTCATCTCCGAGGGCTGCCAGAGTTTAAATCCAGGTTGTGCTGCAGCAGACACGTTTGTCCTTCAGTGCCTGAAATAACAACCAGAAGACATTAGTGTCAAGCACTTCCAGCTGATGAAACACTCAGACTTGGATCCAGGGTGAAATACGATGAGGAATTCTTAAATGGAGAGTTTTTATACTCACTGTAAGCAGGCTGCTGTGTGTTGTGTAGTTTATGTCTCATAATGGAGAGAGGAAAGGAGAGATGTCTGAAGGACGTGCTCCTGGTGTTGCTCTGGTGAGCTCAGATGAGTTGTTTTAACCTCTCTGTATATGATTAAGGATTTCTGCAGTATAATGAAAAGGAATAGGAATTTTTAAGTGGCAATATAAGGTACTGGCTTACTTTGTATAACACACTTTAGTCTTCTGCTGTCAAGTTTTCTTTATGGGTGGAGAGCACCTTCTACAGGAAATGGAGCTAATCCAAGTGAAAAACTTTGCACATTTATTAGTCCTTTTTTGTGTTAAGCAGTTCAAGCATTAGGAGGATTTAACACACTCTTTTAACCCCTAAAGATCACATTTCATGATTCCTATAAGTGTTTATATAACCTCCAGCCATGTTCAAGTGAAATACAGTTTAAAGAGAAATGAAACCTCTTACCCAGTCTCTGAATTAAAAGCAGGGAGCAGCACAGTAAAAGCTAAAATACCTAGGATGACACTCCACCATAACTCATTCCTGCCCAAAATAAGGACCAGACTTGGTGTAATCCCCATATGCTTCTTGCACTCAGCAATCTCCTCCCATAAATTGATTTGTCACGGCTATCTTGGGGCAGAAATTGGACATCTTTTTGATTGAATCCAGCTCTCTGAAGTGGGCAAGTGAGCAGGATGGCATCAGAAATACACTGAGCCAGCTGACAGGGGTTTTACACTTACTAGCAACCCAAAAGTAAACCACTGCCAGAGCAGTTCCACACTTTTGCACTGTGATGCTGCAGCAAGAGGCCAGGCTCCAGCCTGCCATCCTTGGCAGGTTCAGCTGGAGCCTGTTATTTAAACAAAAGCACAAATGTTGCTGCTTGGATGCCCTGTAAACAACTTTATCAGCTCTGTTACACAACTAGGCAGCCAGACACTAACACACAGAAAAAAATAAAGAGCTGTTTCATACGTCAGCTCCTTCCCTGCGTTTCCACGAAGCAATAAAAGCTGAGCAACAACAGCTCAGCTTCGTGCATCCTCGCTTATAATTGTAGGAGTAAATTGACACTTACAGCAGGTTCACTGTTCAGCTCAGTTCCTTATCTGTCTGTGCTGACAGAGACTTGCAAAAGTTATTTCCAAGGACAACTAAACCTCTTGTGTAGAGCTCTGGGTAGCTAGAAAATGTGGAGGTGCAGAGGGGAAAAGCTGTCGCTCCTCCCCATGTTACCCAGCCTGGCTGTGCTAATCTGTTACTCCTTTGAGCAGCTCGGCCTTATTTTTTTTTTTTAGTGTATTGATTTATCTTGCTCTTTAAATGTTACATCTGAGAACTGTGGGAGAAAACTGTGCTAATTCCTACAACCACATTCTGCTCCTCCTGAGGCTCTAGCTCAGCAAACCCACAGCTCGGTGTGAATTAATGGTGTTCGAGGATGGCTGAGATGAATCAGCCACGGGCAGAGGCAGTTGGTGGTGGGACCAAAGGTGAAGACTTTGGTTCCAACTGACAAAATGATGAGTCCTCTCCACTTTTTGTCCAGAGGATCTGCACTGTCTGATTCTTTTCCCTTCTGGCACAGGGTTTGGCAAGGGAGAAAGTGCCCCAGTCCTGGAGGACTGATAAGCTTTGTGCAATGGCTGCCAGGGGAGGATGTGGAAGTTTCCTCCCAGCACTTTGTTACTTATTGTGTTGCTCCCTCCCAAAATTACCAAGTGCTGGCTTTTTCACATCCGGCAGAGGGGTTACATCACAGGATATTTAGGAAGAAGAAGTCAGCAATAGATCCTCTTCTCCTCAGACTTTGGCTGCAGGTCCAGACCCCAGCTCTGTACCAGTGTCTTGGTGGGGCAAGAGGAGAGCGTCACTGTTGACTCATTGCCAACAACTTTTAACACAGCTTTGATTTGAGAGCTTTTCATTGCCTACCTGGTGTCTGGCTGAAGGAACTTTCATGCCAACTCCATCCCTAAAAACCACTCACCATGAGTCAGGCCAGTCCTTCAGAGACCTTTGTTGTTTCATTGGCGTGTGGGCCATGTATCTGTTTCCTGGCTTTTCAACCTGTTGAGCAGAGGTTTGGGTGTTGCACTCGGTGATGACGCAGTGAGAAATGACGTTGTTCTGTGATGGTTTTATGCTGTTTTGAGAGGTCTGAGCCTTTTTCCATATCTTACAGAAAAGTGGTAGCAAGCACTTGAGGTTTCACAGCTCTTGGTGTTATCTGCAGGCATCAGTAGCTCCAAAGTGCCTTTTTTTTTTTTTATCCCAGCTTGAAGATCTGAATGTATTCTAGAAGTCAGATTTTCTTAATAAAGCATCACCCAGTGTGGCCTCTACTCTGTCTTAGCGAGACCACATCTGGAGTGTTGTGTCCAGCTCTGGGCTCCCCTGTTCAAGAGGGACAGGGATTTACTTGATAGAGTCCAGTGGAGGCCACTAGGATGGTTAAGGGACTGGAACACCTGCGTTACAAGGAAAAGCTGAGAAACCTGGAGGCTGTTTAGTCTGGAGATGAGAAGATGGGATCTTATGAATGTCTATAAATATCTGAAGGGTGGATGTGAAGAAGGAGGAGCCAATCTCTTTTCAATCATGACCTGTGATAGGACAAGGGCCAATGGATGCAAACTAGAGCACAGGAAGTTCCACATGAACAGGAGTAAAATTTATTTACTGTAAGGGTTACAGAGCACTGGAACAGGCTGCCCAGAGAGGTTGTGCTGTCTCCTTCACTGGAGGCTTTCAAGACCTGTCTGGATGTGTCTCTGTGTGACCTGCCCTAGGTGGTCCTGTTCTGGCAGGGGGATTGGAGTTGATAATTTCCAGAGGTCCCTTCCAACCCCTGACATTCTGTGATTCTAAGTTTGCCTTTTCCACTTACTCCTACAGGTATTTTACGTCTCAGATCTCTTCAAGCCCAAGATAAAGACTTGCCTGCCTCCACCACCCATCCGGAAGGAGATCCTTTCACCTGTGGACATCATTGAGCGAAATAACCATCACAACATGGTGTAGACCTTTGAGCAATTGGATGGGTGTTGTGTTTTATTTTATTTTTATTTTTTTTATTATTTTTTTTTCAAAAAATGACTGCTGACAGCAACTACCTGCTGCTCTCAAATCTCATCAGACAGTAGAATGTAGGGAGAGACTTTCTTGCCTGACCAGTAAAGTCTTACTCTGTGGTCTTTTCAACTTGCAACATGTGGATTAAAGGGGTGGTGGTCAACTTGGTCACGTAAGTCAAAACGACAGTGAGAAAGCAAAAACAAATAAACAAAACAGAAAAGCCAAGCAAACACAGAGAGGTGCCGGAGTTCTGGATGTGCAATTGGTTTGAGTGTTCATGTTGTAGTGAACGCCAAATTGTTCATAGGCTAATGAACACTAAGGGATTTTTGGAAAGCTGGCCATCTTCTAGGTTTTGTTTTTTTCTACTATGAAGATTTCCAGTGCCTGGGAGAAAAAAAAAAAACAACACACACAACAACTCACAACTAAATTGTATAGCACTAAATGTGAGAAACAGCACTGAGTCAAGATCTAGGACTGGTTTGTAAGAGTTGCTTTTTTCTCTTTCTGATACTAGTTCATTTTTGCCTCCTCTATTCCATACTGTGACTTAGTTTAGAAGAAGCTTGCCCAGTCAAAGATCTCTGAAGGGTCTCTCATCACACTACACACCTTCAACAAGCAGTCCTGAGATGTGAGGCTGGGTAACTCCATCCTCTGTGTGGAGAAGCCACGTTTCTTCCTCTCCGCTGGCTCCTTGGTGAGGGTTGGTCCTGCCTGACCCCCCAGGCGTGTGCAGCACCCACAAATGGCCCTTCATGAAATGAGCATCCCCTGCTTTCCCCCTTCCCTCCCCCAGAAAAGAAAACCACAGCAGATTCTCTGCGCGCCTGCGGGAGCTGGCGGGTGGCACGTGGGGAGCAGCGGCTCCGCTGAAGACGCGTTCGCACTACGACCTCGGGGCTGAGTCCCGGGGAAACTTTTGATTCTGCAGTTTTGGGACAGGCTGCTGGGCGGCCTGTCCCAGCCTGGGTGTCAGTCAGTTTGTGCATCTTCCTCCTCCTCTTTCCTCCTCCTCCTGCTCCCCTGGGCACCCCGGTGCGCACCACGGCAGGTGCCAGGTCGTGCGCTGTGCGCGGTGACACCGATGGTAGATCAGCTGTGCCTGTAGCGAGTGTGATTTATGATCTTATTTTTCTTGCCCAGAAACCACAGGTTCTTGGTCTGCAGCCCTTTCACAGAATGAGTTTGCAAAGGGATCCTGCAAAGCATGCAGAATAATGGCCATTTGCACATCCTTCTTACAGAATCCGTCCTATCATTTCAACTATAGCAAGCTATGACTTTTTTTATATATATAAATATTATATAAATAATGTATAAAAAACCCTTAAAAATTAACTATGTAAAATATTATTTCTGAAACAATTTTAGATATATCCACTATGACTATAAACTGTGTCCTGACCTGTGTTATTTACATTTTGCTGCTTAAAAAAGCATTGAATTAATTTTTTTTATAGTCGACTAAAATATTGTAGTTCTGTGGTAGTAATATTTTAATGAAAATAACTACAATTAGAGACATTTGTATAAAAAAAATCATATTAAATTGTCTGTATTTTTGTAATGTTCCATTTTGTAAAGAGAAGAATATTCAAAGACTTTTGTAGAATACAAAATCGAAGTTTGTATCTGCGAAATTATTGCTGTATAAATGTGCTTTTTAAATAAAAGCTCATAACACGACTAAACATCCTGGGGTGAGTTGTGTTCTGCCTTTGGATTGACCTTCCTGTGCCAGAGAAATGGGGCCTTGCTCAGCAGGATGACATGGGTGAGTGACCCTTTAGGATTTGATGATGCATGAGGACATCTGGATAAGAAGGACCTGAATTCCAATGGGCGTGTAGGAAAGTCTTCTGGCTGGGAAGGGTGTGACAGGGACATGGGTGGGTTTGCACTACTCTTGGCTACACCCATTCTTTGTGAGGGCATCCGTGTCTCTTTAGCAATATTATTATCTTTAAATGAATAATAAATAAGTCTGAAGAGCCACAGCCAAGATGCTTGGTGTGCTGGAGTGTCCCTACCTGGGAGGATCCAGGACCATGCTCTGCACAAGCACCTTTTCCATGAAAAACAGACACACTGCAGCTGGACAAAATCCTTGCAGCTCACTGGCTTGCAAAGATGAGGGTGGAAGAGGAAAAGGAACTAAAACACGACAATGTGCTCAGATACACAACCATGCACAGCACACAGTTACAAAGCAGCCTCGATTAGCTGAGGATGATGATTTAATTTTCTTCCCTCCCCCTACTGAAGAAAATGAACTTCTCAGTGGTGACACCCGCTCAGAGCTGCGTTTCAGCCACTCCTTGACTGAACCACATGGGCGAGATAACGCGGCACCGGAATAATTTGCCAGAATGCCTGACAGGAAGAGAATACCACATCAAGCTGCAAATAAATAGCAGGTGGAAATTAAGCAAGCAGAACTCAGCGAGCACTTGCTATTATTATCCTAATTAGTAGTAATATTTTATTACACATGGAAAAACTTTGTAAACCTGCACCTGTCCTCAATGCAAAGGGAGTTTTCATGGTGCTGCATGTGATCTGAAGGTGTTTGGAGGTTGAGGGTTGTTGTAGAGATGAGACTTCAGCCTCAGGGTCACAGCCATGACAGAGTCTTAATCCTCAGGTCATCTACAAAATTTGCTGCTTGGATCTAAGTGACCTGGGTGGGAGGAGGAAACCCTGCCCACATCTGCCTGTCTCTGGGAAGGGGTTTGGTCCTGGGCACCCCTTCCCACGTGGGACTGGGGTGAGAAAAGTGTTTGTTTTGCATCTTAACCCCCAGCTACTCAGAAGAAAACAGGAATACAGATGTCTGGGTGAAAGAGGAGGGCTTGGAGAAGTGTCTGAGGGGAAATGGCACAGGAGCCGATAGGAGCTGGGGGCTGCTGGGCCAGAGAGTCATGGAACCTCACTCAGGATGCAGGGGTCAGGTGGGCGAGAAGGAGAAGAGGTTGTGGATAAATTTGTGGAAGGCTTGAAAGTTCAGCGTGGGGCTGAGTATCAGCAGTGCCAAGCCCTATTTTTGGCTGAGTGATGGTTGTTTCCTCCTCCACTTCCTATCCGCCTCCCTGTGTTGTCCAGTTCCATCCGCGGCCTGGGGCTGGGAGGGGAAGGGCAGCTTAGGGCAGCTTTGCACAGCAGCTTTGGAGAAGGCTGCAGCTTTGCCAGGACTTACTCCTGCCAGCTGCTTGGGAAAGACTTAAAAGGGAGTGATAATTGCTAAAGGCATGGATGGGAGAAGGCAGCACATGGTGGTGTGGTCTGCAGAAACCTTTCTGGGTTAGCAGAGCATTGAGTAAATATTCAGGTGCTAAAGGCAGAGCAAACACTGATATTAAATGAGCATTTCAGTGAAACCCTGTAGAGAAGTGAAAGTTATTTGGTGGGCTGGCTGAAGGAGCAGAGGTGTAGGTACAACAAGCCAAGAGCATGGTGACAGGGCATATCTCTTACCATTGCTTCCTCCCAGGCAGGCAGGAAGTGAAAGAGAAATGGGTGAAATGGAAAAAGAAAAAAACCAAAACGACACAGCACAAAAAACAAACAAACAAAACCACAAAAAAACCCCAAACCAACAACAACAAAACCCCACCAAACCCATACAAATATGTGGATCCCAACTGCTTCTGCAGGTGATCCTCAGGCAGCATCAGCTGGCGCTGGCACCCTGCAGCAAGCGCTGTGCTGTTTGGTCCCTCACAGACACACACCAGCAGGCAGCTGCTGAGGCCGGTGCTTTGCATGGCTGCTCTACACGTTGCAGGTCTCTGCAGCCACCCCGGCCAGGGAGACTGATCAACAGGCTCCCATGTGTGCATGAACACAAGAGAGGTTGCTGGAGCAGGAGGCTGCATTATGGTTGTGGCCTTGAGTGCAGCAGGAGCTGGTCTGCTCACACCAATGCTAATCGGAGGCTGTGGAGCAGCCAGCACAGCACCTGCCTTTGATGCTGGGGCCTGGCTGGCAGAGCCTTCCCGCACAAGAGGCTGTTCTGGTCAAACCTGTCTCTTTTTTTTTTTTTTCCCCTGCACAGAGACTGGTTCAGCTTGTTTTCACAAGCAGGGCTTCCTGCATGCACCTGACTGCCATGGGAGCAGGTCTTTTGTTCCAGGGTAAGAAAAGGTTTACGCAAGCCCCAGGTTGCCCGTGTTTCAGTGCGCCTGAAGAGCTTGGCTCAGCAAGAATGCCTGGCAGCCTCCAGAGGCTGAGGCTGTTGTACTTCTGTTCAACGATTTTCAAATACGAAGTTCCCAATCAAGGGACAGTGGAGGGAGGAGGTTCATCCCACAAGCAGAGACCTGGTTTTTTTATGCTCCAAAAAACCTGCCTTGTTTCGCATGTCTGAAGTTTTCAGCCAGCTGTGGAGCCAGAGGAATCTCAGGCTGAGGTCCTGCAGCACTGGTGGGCTGATATCAAGCCCATGTCTACAGCAGGGGTGAAGCATGGCCATCCCTGGAGCTGGAATCTCACCTCTCCCCCCAGTCTCCCTTTTCACTTGACACACCCTCTGCCTTCATCCACCGCTCTCCTCCCAAATGGCAAGTGATTCCTACCTTGTGTTTACTTTTACCTCTGGAGACCAGATCAGAGGTTTAGATTTTATGAATGAAATGAATCACTTGCCTCCTGGCTTCTGTAAACACAGTCCACAGACGAGCTACTGCCCATCTCCTCCAGACCTTCCTACCCTTGCTCTCTGGGTGCTGGATGGTGGGCCTCGCACAACCTCAATGGACAACTGGTCGTCTTACATCAAGGTTGAACCAGAAGCTGTCACCTTCACTGAAGGAAGCAGGAGGTAGAAAACA